TCTGAATGCAAATTTTCCTTATGGCACATATATATATATAATACTAAAGCTGAGGCTCCTAGACCTGAATGGCATTCGGGATCCTAATTTTCCAAATTGCATTCGGGAGCTCCTTAATGCCATTCGGGTCTGGAGCCTCAACTTTAGTATTACCCTGTTTCCCCGAAACTAAGACCTACCCCGATAGTAAGACCTCGTACTATTTTTGGGAATTGCTAAAATATAAGACCTACCCCAAAAATAAGACCTAGTTATGACCTTTGCCATGGCCGGTGGTGGCATAAGGGGAAACTTGAAGAGCCGTGGCAGAGAATCAGCGGTGCCAACGAAGCCAGCGCTAGAGGAAGCGAGGTGGCAGCGGAGGAAGCAGATGCCTCCTCTATAGCGCCAGCTCCTGACAGAGGCGGAGTGATTCCAAATGCACTCTGCCAGTGAGGAATGATAGTGAAAGCGCACTTCACTCATTCTGGCCAGCGATTGGTTACCAATTTTCTCTTGGAAAGGTACGGAACCCCTGATTGCCCTGATCACCCTATAAATAATCCCTGTCATTTTGGATTATTTAATTTGGATTTGCATTAACTTTGGATTGTTGTTCATTAAAAAAACAAAAAACAAATAAGACCTACCCCGAAAATAAGACCTACCTACCGAATTGCGTTCGGGAGATCACAAATGCCCTTCGGGTCTGTGAGCCATATACATATATTACTAAAGCAGAGATTCCCAGGATCCGAATAGCATTCGGGGAGCTCCAAAATTCAGATCCTGAAAGCCATCTGGGTCTAGGAGATTCAGCTTTAGTATTAGCGTGCTTCCCCAAAAGTAAGACCTAGTGCTATCATCAGGGATTTCTGTAATATAAGACCTACCCCGAAAATAAGATAGCCCCCCCGCCAGGCACGCCTGTCTTATTTTCGGGGAAACACGGTAATATCTGTATATGGCTTTCAGTGGTATTTACAATATTCGTAAACTTATCCGAAACTAAGGAAAATTCTGATTTCGTTCGAATCCGAAACCCGAACCAAATTGAATTTCGGATCCGAATCCCGAAATAAGGAAATATCCGAACCAAACCAAATTTTTCCGCAGCTTACATGTCTAGTTTTTTTGCTAGGTAGGCCTTTCTACACAAGCTTCTGTCACCCAAGCTGGAACAGTGCCCCTTCATCTAGATATGAAAGATCAATAGACTGATCCCCACTGTCATGTCCTGGATGAAATCATTAATCCCGATAAAATCCTGGTTCCCTTTAAGTATGATGATCCAAATTATTTAAATACGATTAAATGTACACTGTATTAAATGTACACTGCAGTATATTTATAATGAGAATAGAAACTCTATCACATGCAGGATAGTAGAAAGCTATTTTTCTCATTTTATTGGGCGTATGCAGTTTTTATATAGACAATTACGTAGACATCATATTAATATTACCGTTATAATAAAATAAGGTCTACACCTTTATGTGGGTCAGGCTGATCAAAGTTTCAGGAATGTGATTAGGTGACAGAATAGAATAGGTATGTGAAAAAAAGGTGTTTGGTGTACAAGATTCAGCAAAACATGTTAAAGGGATACATGTACAAACAGGGTTAATGTTATCATGCCAGGTTTCGACTGGTTGCAGTTTGTCTTCATAAGAAGTCCATTGTTGTCTCCATATCTCTTAACCTTGCTGTAGGATCCATCTTTACTCAGCCTTGAAATGTTATCTCCTGATTCAACAATGCAAGAAACAGAATAGAAACAACTGGTATCAGTTCTCATAGCAAGGACGCACTCTACAGCAGCCAAAGCAAGAGGACCTGTCACTCACCACAGTCACTACACGCTAACCTTAACTTTTATTAGTGCCAATGATGTAATTGAAGATAGCACACCGAAAGCATCAAGCAACAGAGTGAGGGTTGGCATATACTTTTATCAAAACTGGAGCAGACAAAATCTGGAGCATTTGCCCATAGCAACCAATCGGCTTTCCTCTTCAGTTTGTTCAGTTAAGATTTGAAAATGAAAGCGAGAAGCTGATTGGTCGCCATGCACAGCTGCTCCAGATTTTGTATGCTCCAGTTTTGATAAATTCCCCTCTATGTCTTTTCGGCCTTGCATGTGGCATACACCATTAATAATTATGTACCCTACTGGGGCTTTGCTAACCCAGCAGGACAGTTCCCCAGGTCGTCTACTAAATGCTTCAGGTCACCTGTACAATATGTGTTGCCCCCATCCCAAGAATGATCCTGTAGCCAAACAAAATTCAATCTTTGCTGAACTTTGGTTTTGAGAATGTTGTTTGGTTCTGGTGCATCCATTCTAACCCCCACTAGCAACTTAAGTTTTCACTCACATTTTTTAGAATAGATTAGGTAGATGATTTAGGGCCGGTGTCAACAGGCATCTGATGACATCAAACTAATTATGCATTCCCATACAAGTCTATGAAAAATGCAAAACTAGCTTCAAGTAGAAGCGTGATTTTCCAACATTCAGACACATCCAAAATTCCGAATCCCAATGCATCCGAATTTCTATTTCCGAATTTTGGATACCGTCCGAATTTCGTTCAAAAGCTAAACTGAATCGGACATGTGACTTTTCTGGCCAATCAGATGTGTTTTTCGGTTTAATTCATCCGAATAGGTCTGAACACTCATGTTTGTTACCACAACATGGGAGCTATACACAGTATATAGATATAATACTAAAGCTGAGGATCCTAGACCCGAATGGCATTCAGGATCCAAATTTCTGAATTGCATACTGGAGCTCCCAAATGCCATTCGGGTCTGGGAGCCTCAGCTTTAGTAATATATGTATATGACTCCCAGACCTGAATTGCATACGGGAGCTCCCAAATGCCATTCGGGTCTGGGAGCCTCAGCTTTAGTAATATATGTATATGACTCCCAGACCTGAATTGCATACGGGAGCTCCCAAATGCCATTCGGGTCTGGGAGCCTCAGCTTTAGTAATATATGTATATGACTCCCAGACCTGAATTGCATACGGGAGCTCCCAAATGCCATTCGGGTCTGGGAGCCTCAGCTTTAGTAATATATGTATATGACTCCCAGACCTGAATTGCATACGGGAGCTCCCAAATGCCATTCGGGTCTGGGAGCCTCAGCTTTAGTAATATATGTATATGACTCCCAGACCTGAATTGCATACGGGAGCTCCCAAATGCCATTCGGGTCTGGGAGCCTCAGCTTTAGTAATATATGTATATGACTCCCAGACCTGAATTGCATACGGGAGCTCCCAAATGCCATTCGGGTCTGGGAGCCTCAGCTTTAGTAATATATGTATATGACTCCCAGACCTGAATTGCATACGGGAGCTCCCAAATGCCATTCGGGTCTGGGAGCCTCAGCTTTAGTAATATATGTATATGGCTCCCAGACCTGAATTGCATACAGGAGCTCCTGAAGGCAATTTGGACATTCGGATCCTGAAAGCCATTCGGGTCTGGGAGCCATATACAAATATTACTAAAGCTGAGGCTCCCAGGCCCGAATGGCATTCGGGAGCTCCCGTATGCAATTCAGAAATTCGGGTCTAGGAGATTCAGCTTTAGTATTAATATCTGTATATGGCTTTCTGTGGTATTCGCAACGAATATTCGTAAACTCATCCGAAATGAATAAAAGTTCGTATTTCGCCCGAAACCCGAACCAAATTGAATTTTGCATCCGAATCCCGAAATAACAAAATATCCGAACCTGATTTTTCCACAGCTTACATGTCTTGCTTCAAGTAGGTCAGCTGCAGGTCAAATGTCAATGAATGTTCATTGATCATAGAAGCGTCTCAAACTGATGCCCCAAGCGGGGTGAAATTCATTTGGATGTTTCTAGCTGGGCCTTTTTATGTAAACGTCTCTTGCACAGCCTGGAAAAGGGTCTTTTCACCTAGAGATGGTAAGATAGATAACCAATGGGTTGACCCCCCACAGGGCTTGTGACGATGGGCTTCTGTTCACTTTAGATGGGGTTTGCATTCCCATACAGGTCCATGGGAAGGAAAAAAACAGCTTCACCTGCAGTCAGATGTCAACAAATCTTGAATGATCTCATAAGCATCTCAAACAGGGGGTAGAATGAATTTGATTGTTTCTAGGTATCCCTCTCTACACAAGCTTATGTCACACAGGCTGGAGAAGTGTCCTTTCATCTAGAGATGCTTGGATGGATGACCAATGGATTGACCTCCACAGAGCTTGAGGTGATGGACTTCCGTTCACTATAGATGGGTTTAGCATTCCCATACAAGTCTATGGGAAAACTAAACCTGCTTACGGTCATAAGGGGGTCTCCTGCCGGTCAAATGCACCTGTCAATAAATCTTGGATGATCTCAGAAGCGTCTTTAACTGATGCCATGGGCACAAGCCTGAAGTAGCTTGACACAGGCTGTTAGCGATTTAGAAAATCTGGAAATTGTGAACAAACATCTGGTTTCTGTGTTTGCCCCACAACATTCCAAACCCCTGCAGGACACTGTGGTTCCTCCAGCCGGCCCCAGATACAGTAGGGAGGTAGGGGGTCGGTGGGAGGAACCATTGAGCGCAGTGTGGGATGCAGGTATTTAACACTCCTGAAAGGGTGAGATGTGAAAGGCTTTGCTGGAAGCTTTAGCTCTTGAAGTTTGGGGAGTTCACAGACATTTTTTTTCATATTTTCAGGCCCTGAAATTGGAGGATATACAGTAGGGGGAAGCACGTCCGCTTACCTCCAGCCACCCACCCACAGGGATGTACTGGGGTCCATTTCCGATCAGGTCAAACATGGAATGATGGAACGTCCTTGTGAAAAGGGCCTAATGTCAAATTTAGGGTTACCACCTCTTCTTCAGGATAAACACTCTAGTGGCAATGTATTTTGGTCAATATACAGGAGACAGTGAGGAGAGACACAGTCAGGAGAGAGTGAGGAGAGGCAGCCAGGAGAGAGTGAGGAGAGGCAGCCAGGAGATAGTGAGGAGAGGCAGCCAGAAGAGAGTGAGGAGAGGCAGCCAGAAGAGAGTGAGGAGAGACAGCCAGGAGAGAGAGTGAGGAGAGACAGCCAGAAGAGAGTGAGGAGAGACACAGTCAGGAGAGAGTGAGGAGAGGCACAGTCAGGAGAGAGAGTGAGGTGGGAGAGTGAGGAGACACAGCCAGGAGAGAGAGAGGAGAGTGAGGAGAGACAGCCAGGAGAGAGTGAGGAGAGAAAGCAAAGAGAGAAAGAGAGGAGAGACAGTGAGGAGAGAGTGAGGAGAGACAGCCAGGAGAGAGTGAGGAGAGAGAGAAAGAGAGGAGAGACAGCGAGGAGAGAGTGAGGAGTCACAGCCAGGCGAGAGAGTGAGGGGAGACAGCCAGCAGAGAGGAAAGAGCCAGGAGAGAATGAGGAGAGAGAGCCAGGAGAGACAGCCTGGAGAGCGTGTGAAGAGAGACAGCCTGGAGAGTGAGGAGAGACAGCCAGGAGAGCGAGGAGAGACAGACAGGAAAGAGTAAAGAGAGAGACAGCCAGGAAAGAGTGAAGAGAGAGACAGCCAGGAGAGAGTGAGAGACAGTCAGGAAAGATAGAGAGGAGAGAGACAGCCAGGAAAGAGTGAAGAGAGAGACAGTCAGGAAAGAGAGAGAGGCAGCCAGGAGAGAGAGGAGAGACAGCCATGAAAGAGAGAGAGGAGAGACAACCAGGAGAGAGAGAGAAGAGACAGCCAGGAAAGAGAGAGATGAGAGACAGCCAGGAAAAAGAGAAAGGAGAGACAGCCAGGAGAGAGAGCAAGGAGAGGGACAGCCAGGAGAGAGAGCAAGGAGAGGGACAGCCAGGAGAGCGAAGAGAGACAGTCTGGAGAGAGAGCAAGGAGAGACAGGCTGGAGAGAGAGCAAGCAACATATCTTCCTGAAGCAGAACCCCGTGCCCTTTAAGACTTATCTGCACCCTGTGTTTCAGACACCTCCTTGCTTCCTGAGTTCTGGTGTCCCTCTGTTTCCTGCGCCTCCTCCATGCACTCAAGTTGGAATACTAGGCCCGTCTGCCTCATATTGTGACATCTTGTGTCCGGGTTTCAGCTGGCCTAAAAACCCGGACACAGTACATACAAGACTCAAAACCCGGACTGTCTGGGTGAATCCCGGACAGGTGGCAACACTAATCGCATGACCGTCTCTGCCACTATGACACATTGACTCACAGGGGACAGCCTTCCACTTATCTCTGTGGAATATCGCCCTCGGTGGCCCTGAACGCTGCCGAAGCTCGCTCAATAACTGCGAACGTGACGCCTTGACGGTTCAGCTAGCGAGGGAACGATTCTATAGAGACTATAGCATGTAGTCTTTTAGCAATCCTGACGCTGGAAATTTGTCGCCAAAATCGCATTTGTGACTTCCTCCTTATGATGTAGTAGTGTCGCCAGAGATTACAGCGATTATATCGCTAGCGACAAATTGCCATTAATGTCGCCTGGCGATATCGCCGCTACAAAATTACCAGGAGGACATGGCATTTATTCATGAAAGTGTGAAAAGCACTGCAAGAGCCATAAAACGGGGACATTTTATTGTGGAAATCAGTTTTTGGGACAAACGTTGAAGTGCTGACACTTTTTATACTGTCCTCCATCCGTCTCCATGACATTGCTGGCTGCGGCTGAACTCACAACCTGAGTAAGACGGACTGTCACCCCAATGGGGTGGGGAACGGGACTGCCCCCCGGCGGCGGGGTGAGAAGCAGCCGACGCAGCGGAGGAATTCTCTGACCGGGGAGGAGGGCCAGCAATTCGTCATCCGGAACCGGCTGCTCTATTACCTGTTCACCATCGGTACCGAGCTGGGCAACGAGCTCTTCTACATCTCCTTCTTCCCATTCTGGATCTGGAATGTGGACCCGTACGTGGGCCGGAGGGTGATCGTTATCTGGGTGTGGGTTATGTATCTGGGCCAGTGCACCAAGGATGTCATCCGCTGGCCCCGGCCCCCCTCCCCGCCTGTCATCAAGCTGGAGGTCTTCTATAACTCCGAGTACGGCATGCCCTCCACCCATGCCATGTCCGGCACCGCCATCCCCCTCTCACTACTACTGCTCAACCTGGGCAGATGGCAGGTAAGAAGAGCTTCTAGAGATCCTCCTCTCAGGGCTCACATATGTATGAAGTAAAATGTTCAGACTATTATCCCTGGTTACATGCTGGGCATGAAGGGGCCACATCTCCATCCTGATGAGAGCTTATACAGTTCCCACACTCGGGGGTCACCTGAGCTTCTAGAGATCCCACACTCAGGGGGGGTCACCTGAGCTTCTAGAGATCCAACGCTCAGGGGGGTCACCTGATCTTCTAGAGATCCAACGCTCAGGGGGGGTCACCTGAGCTTCTAGAGATCCAACGCTCAGGGGGGGTCACCTGAGCTTCCAGAGATCCAACGCTCAGGGGGGTCACCTATGTACGATGTCTTATGTTCAGAGTACAATACAAAACACAAAAATTCCCCAGCCTCAACCAGCCAGCCTGCAACCAAACAAGTAGCCCTGTCAACAGTATGCGTTAAAATCAGAGGTTTTAGTTGCACAAACTTTTGGCCAAAAATATGTAGAAGCCAGACCGCCGCGCCAAGGCACCTATTTTGGGTTAGGGGGACGCACTGGAGTCCCAGCGTGCATTTTTGGTTGCTGGGCCTCCAGTGCGTCCCTGCACCTTATTAGGAGGAGTAGGCCACCTCCAGGTACACCTGCATGTAATTTATCAACTTCATTAATATGCTCACACTTGGAGACTCTGATACATAGAGTTAGGACCACACTTTGCAGAGGTGCCTTGACGCGGCAGTGTGGCTTCTACATATTTTTGGCCATGAGTATGTTCAGAGTACCTCTGGGTAGAAAGTGGGTAAGAAGGGGGTCACCTCTCCATTTTGATTTGGGCTTCGTGAGCTTCTAGAATTCCTCCACTCAGGGGTTAGGTATGTATGATGTTATATGTTCAGACTACCATACCTGGTTACGTAGTGGGTAGGAAGGGGCCACATCTCCATTCCAAACCCTCTGAGCTTCTAGAGCCCCTCCACACTGGGGTCATCTATGTGTATGGTTATAGAGTCATAGTACCAGTCTTGGGCACATGGTGAGTAAGAAGGAGCCACATCTCTCCTGATCGGAGCTTCTAGAGCCCCTCCACACTGGGGTCACCTATGTGTATGGTTATAGAGTCATAGTACCAGTCTTGGGCACATGGTGAGTAAGAAGGAGCCACGTCTTCATCCTGATCAGCTCGTAGTGCAGGTCGCATTGTTTATTTTTTTGCTTTACATTATCCTAAGCATATTTGCATCTTACAGCTTAACATGTTTGTTGTCCATTTTACCTAAATTTGTTTCTAATGCTGGACGATGGTGATTACCCCATTTGCATCATATATACATTTCCTGGGCATACATAGAATCTTTCACCTAATTCGTTTTCCTTGAACAATTTATTGCTCCTCCAACAAACACATTCTGCAGCCACTTTGGTTTGAAGTTCATAGTGACACGTACCGGGTTTATTGGGATTACGTTTTCGCTGTGTGCGGCAGTTTTCCCTGTAGTTGTTAAAAATCAGATCAATAGGCGGAATTTTTAAATGGGAGAGTGAAGACTAAATGCTATTAAATATAATGTGCAGATATGACTCAGGAAGCCTCTTGAGGTTCACAAATATTTGTACTGAGCAGTGTGTTTAATATAAACAAGAAATATTGTATACATGTGATTTTCAGTTTTCTACTTCCTTGAATGTTGTTCTTCCGTTCTTTACTGCATGTGTAATGAGGGACAGTTAATTGTTCTTGAGGAATGCTCAGAAGAATGGAAAATGAGTATTGAGTGGTGTGATGGGAAAGTTTGTTCCCACCAGATGCAGTCCGTTCAGTTTGGCAGCTGCATTCAAATGCATCACTATGCTTTCCCATGGGATTTCTGGTGCTCTATTTACACCAGTGCAGTCCGTTCCGATGCAATCAGAAAAAAAAAATACAGCTCGTCTAATTTTAGCTGCACCTGATCGCATCAAAAACGAATGCAAACGCACTGGATGGCACCTTTTTAAAGGCCCATTTTAAGCGGGGGGGGGGAGGTAAAAACGTGGCAAAACGCATTGCACTGCAGCCGCGCAGACGTGCAGAAAATGGTGTGAACCTGCTGCAGTACCAGTGCATTCCAGACCAGACACAATGAGACATGCGGTATTCGTCTGGTCTGGAACGGACTGCGCTGGTGTGAACAGAGGCCAGAAATAGCATAGGGATACATTAGGATGCATTTTGGGTCCAGAAACAATCTGGTCTGGTCCAGCACTACAAAGTTTCCAGAGTGTACCTGTAAGGCCCTATTCACATGTAGCGGTTGTAAATTCAACGTGTTTTTCCTCCCGTTCGTCCGGACATGCGTGGGTTCTGCACGTTTGTGGCAACTACTATAGCCGGAGCACATGGAATCCGCCCAAGATATTGTGCCTGGACATTTTTTGCGCAACGTGCGTGTTTTGTACAGCAAGGATGTCACACATGTGAACAATCCATGTAGCTGGTGATGATGTGACACTTAGTAGTCAATAAATATTGGCTTGTATTTACGCTGGAGTGCTCGTGACTTTTCTTTACCTCAATCCATGTACCCATCGCACTCCTGACTGCTGTTCCATCAAGATAAGGTGGGTGCACCGGTAGTCGATGGATGGCCACCATCTCTATGATGCGTAAGAATATGGACACCGGCACTCCAATAGCAAATGGATTAAGTCTATTTATTGACGTACATGCAAAAAAGCTTAACTAAGTGTGCGATGCGTTTTTGCATTTGCTATTGGAGTGCCGGTGTCCATATTCGCACGTGTGAAAAAGGTATATTGAACTGTATTCGTTTTTATGTTTAGCGCGTTTTGAATACATGCAAAAACACGCTACCGTGTGAACGGATCCTAAAGGCAGGAAATAGCCTGGGAGAAAGACTAGGGGTTAGACCAGGGGTGGTCAAACTCCGGCCCTTCAGCTGCGGCGACACTATTTGTAGTGATGCATCTGTCTGTGGGAGACATGCCTGTGAGAATCTTGCAATGCCTCATGGGATTTGTAGTTCCACCACAGTTGGAGGGCTGGAGTTTTCCCACCCCTGGGTTAGAACCTCTGCTGGGTTTTATATGGCTGTTTGTGTTCCTTAGAGATGTCCTCTCTTGTCCATTTGATTGTCAGTCAGAAATATTTTTGTCTAGGTCAGGGCTGGACCAATCCCAGCAGCCAGGTCACCAATGCTTTTAGAATTTGTAGCTGGCGCTTAAAGGAGAACTATGAGGTGTGTGAAAATCACTCGGGAAATCGGGTGACTCACTTCTCGTTCCTGTCCCTGCAGAGAGCCGTGACTGTCGCTCACGGCTGCCTGCAGGGATTCCCTCCCTGCTCCGATCCTCCAGCGCTGAGTGGAGGAACGAACGGGGGAGGGGGCGGGTACAGCTGGCTCTGCCTCTAGATAGGCAGAGCCAGCTCTCACTCAAACAGCTGGGTGGATCTCTACAGTAATGTCGGGATCCGTCCCGGCTGCGGTGTCTTAGTATAGCGCTGTAGCTCGCTGTATACTGAGCTTTGGGTCACGGGGGGACGCTAGTTTATGTCCTCCCGTGACCCTGAGGAGAACTATGGGGAAAAACACTTACCCCATAGTTCTCCTTTTAACTTTTGAGGGTTTCTCTAGTTGTCAATGAAACTGGCTAATAAAAAACAAAACAAATCCTGCTGGCTCTTGGATTGGATAGACTGGCTCCTGAATGTATATGAATTTGTCCACTCTTAGGTTAGGCTTTCAGGGCTAGTTCACACCATCCTCAGTGCGTTCCGGCCGGATTGTGGCCGGGGCACACTGGATCGCATTCCGACCAGCTCACTTTGTTTTGGGACGGGGCGTGGTGGTGCATTGAACTCAATGACACCACAGCCACGCCCTCAGGTCGCAATGGGAATAAGTGCTTGCATTCCGGTCCTCCTGAAGTCAGAAAAAGTAGTGCACACACAATTTTTTCTGACTGCAACAGACCGGAAGGCGGACCCTTCCGGCCCTGATGTGCCACAATCGGGCCGGAACGCAATGAGGACGGTGTGAAGTAGCTCTGAACTTTTTCTGCCAGGTTTGTTTACCCTCAGGAAGCTCATTATTTTGCAAACTCCTTTTTATTATTATTTTCAAAGGATTATCTAAATCTTTATCCCCAGGCTTCATCCGACCTGTTTTTAAAACTTTCAGAACTCACTTGTAGTTATACATTTTGTCACACTGTTACATAATTATCATTTTTTTCTAAGGCGTCATACTTGAATATAGAGAATATACTTGGAGCCCTTTCACACAGAATTTCTGATCAGGTCCGCCTGTCAGTTGTTCAGGTGGACCTGATCGGAAGCCCAGTGTTAAGGTGGGCATACACTGTACAACCATCGCAAGACCTTAGTCTTGCTGATGGTTGCAAAGGGATTAAAAAAACGTACGATCTGCCCATCTTGGACGGGCAGATCGCACTCTCGATCATCGCAAGCCACGCCCCCTGAGGGGCGGGCTTGCGATGACTAATGAGGGGCGGGCTTACGCTGACTGCAAACGGGCAGTGTGCGCGTGCGCACACCGGCCCGTTCGGCAGTCGTCGAACCAGCAGGCCATCAACTCGCCGAGAATCGTACGATTCCCGGCGGGTTTTCAAACATGCTGGTTCGATGGAAGACGTGCGACCGTACAGTAGAAACGGTTGCACGCCTTCCATACACTGCACGATTCTCGTACGATCGCGGGGGCACCTTAAGTCTGTGGGCATCCAGATCTAATCAAATGGTGGTCTCGTTTCCCCCGGCTCCATTCAGGCTCCTTCGACAAAGGTTCATTGAAAAATCGACTTTTGTTGATTAGACCTCATTCGCACTGCCGTATAATACGCTGCACATAGGTGTGCGCACAGCGTTTTTTTCCCCATATGCAAATAAATAGCTCCATGCACATAGCTGCCTATTTGAGCTGTGTAAAGATGCGCCCGAAAGAATGGAACAGAGATGCGTCCAGGCTTGGAATTTTTGCGTCTGTTATGCGCATGTGTGC